ACCAATTTGCATAATGAAAGATGCTATGTATTATACAATGTTTTATTTAGTTCTACGGTTCCCTTTAAAAATCCAGATGGACTAAGGGTGGGTACAATGGGTACTGGATTTGGGATGTGATAGGCTAATAAAATTGCACCAGGCTCTAGGATTTCTTTTTCTGGTGGCAGAAGAAAATTATACATAGACTGAGAATCTTCTTAAGTTCAAGTTGTCAGGAGAACAAAATACAATGATAAATCCCTTAATAGTGGGATAAAAACTATGTGAAATTAGTATTTCTCTTACACACGAACACTACAATGATGGATCATTTGACTATTGGGGATATGAGATAATGACTATTTCTTACTAAACATCCATTTTCTGCTGTTGCATTTTATTGACATCTTCCTCTATTATTTCAAAATTGGTAACTTACCAGCAAAGGGATATACAAAACCGGCATCGTAATTTCAATATTTGCCTGGTGACATCAAGAAAATATCCTCATAGACTTACTTTGAAAATCCTATATTTGTAAATGTCTGGTACCTAATTTTTCCAGCTCATCAAATGATGGCTCGCTTCTGGCAAGTCAGCAAACTTTACAGAATGTTTCATCTTTAACAGAAATGCAATTTGTTATTTCTAAAAGTTGAACAATAATTATTTAAAGGGACTGTCAGCCATATAGTGTAAGCGGCATTAATAGGGACTAAACAAAAAAAAGAGAGAGATTATAATAATATTGAATATGTAGTCCAGGTAGTAGAACTAATCTGGGGACAAATGGCTGCAGTGAAGTGAGGCTTTGTTCCATCTGCTTAAATTTGGGTCTTTAAGAGTTGAAACATACTCTATGTGATAGTAATATTAATATTATTCATTTTGCCATTTATATAGCACGAACATATTCCACAGTGCTTAACAGTATTATAAAAGAGGGAAATTTAACAATACATGAGACAATTCTAAAATGTTACAGAAAAAATAGGTTGATGAGGACCCTGATCAAACTAGCTTAAAGTCTAGAGGAGGTGGGGTATAAAACACAATAGGATGGGCATTATGGAGGATAGCCACCAAGCGACAAGGTGGGGAAGTAGGAGAACTGAAGATGATAGTGGAATGTGGCCCTTTAGGAGAGAGCAAAATATAGGTTTGTAAAAAAGTAACTCCAAGAGGCCATAAACTAAAACATAAGAGATGGTTTTATGGGATTTCTTGACCCCTTGGTGACCAGACCATTTTTCAATTTTCTTACCGTTTGGGACCAGTGCTGTTTTTACGTGTCTGTTGTGTTTGTGTTTAGCTGTTTTTTTCCTCTTACTCATTTACTGTACCCACACATATTATATACCGATTTTCTTGCCATTAAATGGTCTTTCTAAATATACCATTATTTTCATCATATCATATAATTTACTATAAAAAACATTATAAACTATGATGAAAAAATAAAAATAAAACACTTTCTCTAACTTTGGCCCCCAAAATTTGTTACGCATCTACAACCGCCAAAAAACACCCATGCTACATAGTTTCTAAATTTTGTCCTGAGTTTAGAAATACCAAATGTTAACATGTTCTTAGCTTTTTGTTGCAAAGTATAGGGCTAGCACTTTGTTATTTCCAAACCATTTTTTTTTTTTCAAAATGAACGCAAGTTACATTGTAACACTGATATCTGTCAGGAATCCCTGGATAACCCTTCACATGTATATATTTTTTAAAAGAAGACAATCTAAGGTATTAACTTGGGGTATTTTGACTCTTTTCATGCAACCATTTTACCACCAATCTATTACAAAATAAATAAAAAATAAAATAAAATTGGTGATTTTTTTTTGACACACATAGCAATTTAAGAATACATGTACTGAGAGCTTTAAGGGTTACTGCCAAAGAACACCCCAATATGTGTTCAGCAACATCTCATGAGTACAGTTATACCACCCATGTATAGGTGTGTTTAGGTGTGTCGGGTTCTCTGGGGGCTAAAATACCTTATTTGGAGGGTGCGCATTCCAGTTTTCCAACTTGGAATTTTCACAGCTGGTCATCATGCACCCATGTCCTATTCAGAAAATCTTTAAAGCCGACCAATGTAATGTACCCCATCAAACCATATATTTTTGAAAAGTAGACAACCCAGGGTATTCAATATGGAGTATGTCTAGTCTTTTTAAGTAGCCACGTAGTCATAAACACTGGCCAAAGTTAGCATTTATATTTGTTTGTGTGTTAAAAATGCAAAAAAGTATGATGACCGCTAACTTTTGCCAGTGTTTGTGACTAAGTGGCTACTAAAAAAGATGAAAATACCCCATTTGCAATACCTTGGGTTGTCTTCTTTTGCAAATGGTATGCCATCATGGGGGTAATTCTCATTCCTGGGCTACCATACGCTCTCAAAAATAACATAACCAATCTGGCAAATTTCAATGTAAAATTAAACGGCCTTACATTTGACCCTGTAACTTCCAAAACCACTATAAATCCTGTACATGGGGGGTACTGTTATACTCAGGAGACTTTGCTGAATAGAAATATTAGTGTTTCAAAACTGTAAAATGTATCACAAGAATGATAACATCAGTGAAAGTGCAGTTTCTGTGTAAAAAATGCAAAGAAAACGTCAATTTCACTAACAATATCAATGCTGTGATATGTTTTACTGATTTGAAACACTAATATTTGTGTTCAGCGAAGTCAACCAAGTAAAACAGGTTTTAGGTTGTCTTGGAAAGTTACAGGGTTAAATATAGTGCTAGCAAATTAAATTCTCTGGACTTTTGGCCTGGGTTGTCAGCCAGGTCCCCCAAATTGCAATCAATAAAATCACTTAATTATGTAAAAATATTACATAAATACGAACGTAGAATGTAGATATATATATATACATATTTATAAATTTGAAGTCTACTATATTTACGAAATTATTTATGTAATTATGAATATATCAAAATATATCAAAATACAGTTAGAATAAAATTACACATATATACATTTATATGTCTGATGGCTACCGATGCTCTGCACTACACTGCCGGGATCCACGTGGGGAAACCCGAGAGTGATCGCTCCAGGGGACCCGGCAGTCGGGGGTATTGCAGGATGCCTCGACATCGAGGCATCGCTGCAATACCTTTAAAAACAGCTGGAAGCGATCATGATCATTTCCAGCGCTCATATTGGCCGCGGACCTACAGGGTACGTCAGAGGTCCTTAAGGACCTTCTTTTGTCTGATGTACCCTGTACATCAGCGGTCACTATGGGGTTAAGCGACTGAAGACTAGGGGAGAGTTTGATGGTGGCAAGCAGACTGTTCCAAAGAAAAGGAGCAGCCCGTGAGAAGTCCTGCAAGCACAAATTAACAGTAAGGATGAGATTAGCAGACCGCAGTAGGTCACCGGCTGAGCAGAGAGACCAAGAAGGGGCATATGTGCGAATTAGTGACAATTTTTTAACAGGAGCTAGAATTGTTTAGAGTTTTATAGGTAAGAGTTAGTATTTTGAATTGACTCCTATAGGATACAGGAAGCCAATGTAAGGATTGACAGAGGGGTGACATGTGAGACAAGCGATAGGAGAGAAAAATAGCTAATTTATTGACCTAAATACAGTTTGCGAACAGCGTTCTTCTATATTAAAATGTATTGGGGCATATCCACTACAGTCTGAAGACTTTATAGTCACAGCTGGTTTAATAAAATGCAATACCATACTTAGATTTTATAGACATTACATTTTTGGGAAATGTAAAATGAGCTAATTTTAGATGTATGGGACTGCTAAAAATTGCTAAAAGTAATAGTAATTCAAGAAGGTCTTTTGAGCTATTTTCACTACTATCCCTATGAGAAATCTTTAGAAGATACGTTGGTAAATTGTACTTGACATGTATTTCTCAATTTTTGAAGAAATGTGCAGGATTAGATAGCTATAACTTCCACATTTCTCCAAGCATGATGGATTATTGTCTGTAAACAACAAATATTAGTGAGACCGACTATAATTCACTGGCCATCATATCTTCTCAAGCAAAGGGTCCCATGGCAATACTCTGACAGATAAATTAAGGAGCCAAGTGAAAGCAGAATTGGTAAGCTGGAAGCCTCCTCTTATGCTGGTATGGCAACTATTTAAAATGTATCACGTTCAGCAACACTTTCTAGAAAATTTAGATATCTGATCAGCAGCATATATAGCTCAGCAGGATTCAACATCAAGAGCAGAAGAATGATTTCCACAGTTCTAAGTTTCTCCTTAAAGTATAATAGTTAGGTAAAGAAATGTTTAAATGTTCAGTGAGCTATGAAAATGGAAAAGATAAACATCTCAATCTACTAGGTGGTATGAATAGTCACGCTGCTATTGAATTTATTTACATTCCGAAGATTCATGATATTCAACATCGCTCATCGCAGGCTGGGATCTGTGCGTAACCAGGCGATCTGTATCCCTAGCAGAAGTGCTAAGAAAACACAATGCTAGGGAAATAGCAGGAGTCAGTCTGTCAATGATAACTACAATCAATAACACTTAGTTGATGTTTGCAACTATAGCCACAACAAGTATACGAACAACATGCTAATGTCTGTTACACCCTAGTATCTTATAAAGGGGATCTGATTGGCTCTCCTAACTGATAAAAACTATTTGGTGTCTCCACTACAAGTAAATAAATGTAAAAATGGAAAGAAAATATTCACCCAAAAAAGCCCAAGTGAGTGGCCTCTCTTCTTTATCCACCCCATGTTTTTGAGGGGTACTTTGCAGTCAAACAAGGCCTCACACCAGTCTCCTGGTCCTTGTATTAATATGGGTTGAAAGGACCCAAAAGGTTCCCATTTTTATTAATGAACCCTTTCTAATATTTCTGTATGATAAGGTCCAAGGTAATGCTTAGTCTCTTTGTGTCTAAAATGACCCCTCACCCTCACAAAATGCATCCTAACCTACACCCTCACAATCATTCTAGTGAGTTGGCAAAAGACTTTACAAAACAAAAATAGTGCATTTTAGTGAATAGCAAATAGCATTACAGTTTCTAAAGTTTCCAACTGAGTGTTTATGTTCCAGACAGGGAACTTTAATAATTGGCATGCAGCAAAGTTAGCAATGTTTGCGTAACTTTGCAGCAATGCTAAATAACCCTTGTGCAACTGAAAAGTGGCTTTATTCTGCAATACTGTGTCAGACATTTTGTGCTAATGAGCTGTATAGCGACCCTTGGGAAATCCAAAAAGGACCTTATAATGTGTCTGTTGGTCAATCTTTGAGTCTTGTGGTCTGGCTGTCTATCTAGAATACACTGGACTATGCAGACTCAGCACTGAATAGTAAAAATCCATGCGCTAAAAGTGGTACCTATCTGACATTTGAGTTTGAAATTTAAGTTTCTAACAAAAATACATTGTGACTAGAGGAACAACAGAGAACAATTTTAAATTGATATTTAATCTTTCATGTAGAACATCTACTTTTCAAATGGTCCGATTTACCTGGAACGTTGTTAGCGCAAGTCCCTGGACAGCATGTCCGCTTTGATACAATGTCTTCTCAGCTGACCTTGTATGTAGTTTGCAATATGTAAACTGAGTTTATATGTCTGTACACATCTGGTGGGTTGAGCAGATCAGGATGTACTCAGTGATTCCAGATGTTAAAACTTGTCCTTAGTTCACAATCTCCCCGCCACCCCTGTCTTTTATCTTTCATATGCATGTGAAGAATATTACATATGCTACATTCCTACTGTGTCCTTATAAGGCCAAAGTTTTAGTTACAGTTATGTTGTCATTATAGTTATAAGTGTACACAATGGTCAAAGAACCGCACTGTCTATTCTGACTTTTGGCATTTACTTTCCATCGAAAATCTCTCTCTTTCTGACATCATTAAGCTGTACCGTCTGTCATGTGTTTTATGCATCTACTGCTGGTTGCATTGTGAGTAGAATATGTGTATATTTGTTATAAAGAATGTCAGATTGCAAATTAATATTTTGGGGTGATACAAAAGACTATTACAGGAAGTAATTTTAAGAAAAATCTGTATACATAAAAAAGACATAATCCAATCACCCTTAACATATATATATTTCTTGTGCCATGTTAAAGAAAAACTCAGTTGTTTTTTGTTTTTTTTTACAGTTTAGTAGATATACCTGCAAAGAAAACATACATGTAATGAAATATTATCTGGTTGTAGCTGAAGAACTAGTATATGTACCCAGGGCCGGACTGGGAAAAAAATTAGGCCCGGGCATTTTTCAATCAGAGCGGCCCCCTAAGAAAGGGGCGGGGCCAGAGAGTGTGTGTTTTGTCATCACTAATGACAACACGCCCCCTCTCAAAGTGAGCATGTTGGTTCAATGCCCAGAGCCCCGCTGAAGAGCTCTGGCATTAGAAAAAGGCCCTGAATTTGTTCTGCGCAGCGCAAGCAAATGAAATAACATGCTTGTGCTGTGTTTGCTTTTAAATTGTCTCTGGTGTTTCCACAAGTGGGATACCAGAGGACAAAAGGGCCAGGAAAGTGCATGGTGCATATGTTTGGAGCCTGCTTGTGGGATTGCATGTGTGTAGAGAGTGGTGTGGTATTGTATAAATAGGTCAATTTAATTTGTGTTTGTGGTGTAATATGTGTGGCTAGGGGTTGCAGAGAGGGTGTGTTTAGAGAATGTTGTATGTGTTTGCTGACAAGGAATGTAGTGTGTGTGTGTAGGAGATCTACTGTGTAAAGGACCCAGTGTGTGTGTAGAGGATTAAGAGTGCATATAGGGTAAGGGATCTAATGTGTATCTGGAGCGTGTGTAGTGGTGCAGGGTGAGGGGTGCTGTAGTGTGTTTGTGTGTGTGTGTGTATGTATGTATATATATATATATATATATTTTGACTTATTGTATGTGTGAGGGGCGCAGTGTGTGTATGTAAAAGGGGTGCTGTGTGTGAGGGTGTTTTTATCTGCTGTCACATTCTAGGTTTCTAATTTTCTTTGTCTGTTAACTCACTGAGGGTTATTTTATATATATATATGTGTGTGTGTGTGCTGTATATGTGTGGGAGTGTGCTGTGTGTGTGAGTGAGGGTGCTAATTTATTTATATATTTATTATTATTTATGTATTAATATATTACTAAAAGTTATAACTATAACTGAGTTTTTGAATTTTTGCAAACTGAAAATTTTGGTGACTCGTTTTTGAAACTGCTACAATTCAGTGTTTAGTGGGGGGTGCTGTGTGTCTGGGTGCTCTGTGTGTGTCTGGGTGCAATGTGTGTCTGGGGGTGCAGTGTGTGTCTGGGGGTGCAGTGTGTGTCTGGGGGTGCTGTGTGTGTCTGGGTGCGCTGTGTGTGTGTGAGTGCGCTGTGTGTGTCTGGGGGTGCAGTGTGTGTCTGGGGGTGCAGTGTGTGTCTGGGGGTGCTGTGTGTGTCTGGGTGCGCTGTGTGTGTGTGAGTGCGCTGTGTGTGTCTGGGGGTGCAGTGTGTGTCTGGGTGCAGTGTGTGTGTCTGGGGGTGCTGTGTCTGGAGGTGCTGTGTCTGGGGGTGCTGTGTCTGGGTGAATGTATTTTTATGTAAATTTAAATATTTATTTTACTAATAGTGGCCTATTTCCCTCCCCTTCTTACCTTTTATCCTGGAGGGGAGGGATGAGCATCCTGCTCTGCTCGGGGTGGGGAGCCATGCTGCCTTCCCTGGTGGTCCAGTGGTGAGAGTGAACTCTAACCTGCAGGCTAGAGTTCACTCTCGCGAGATTATGCGTTGCCGCGGCAACGCTCAGAATCCCGCGAGAGGACCGGCGGAGCTGCTTGTTAGAGCTCCGCCGGGTCCTCTCCTCCCTCCCTCCCTCCCTCACACCCCAGCCGGCGGCCCCATCTCTCTGTCTGTGGGCCGGTGAGGGAGATCTTAGATCTCCCCACCAGCCCACGGAGGCACTATGCAGGGCCGGCGCTCGGATAGCGCTGGCCCTGCAGGCCATCGGGCATACCGGGCATACCGGGCATTTGCCCGGTATGCCCGATGGCCAGTCCGGGCCTGGACACAGACACTGGGAGACATGGGGACACAGACACTAGAGACACTGGTTGGGAGACATAGGGGCACTGGTAGACATGGGGACACTGAGACACTAGGGGGACTGGCTGGGAGACATGTGGACACTGGGAGACATGGGGACATGGGGACACTGAGACACTAGGGACACTGAGAGACATGGGGACATAGACATTGGGAGACTAGGGGACACTGGGAGACTAGGGGACACTGAGACAATAGGGACACTGGCTTGGAGGCATGGGGACACTGTGTCCCACGTGTCTCTGTGTCTCAGTGTGTCTCCCAATGTCCCCATGGGTCTCAGCATCCCCATATCTCACAGTGTCCCCTAGTTTTAAAGTGTCCCCTAGTTTTTCAGTGTCCCCATGTCTCCCTGCTGCCTTTCCCCCCCATCCTTCACTTAACTGAGCTGTAGGCTGTTTCTGTAGGCTGGGAGCTGCTGTCTGGCCTCTATGTGCTGTGTAGCTGCTCCCCTGCGGATCAGTGAATAGAGAGAGGCAGGGAGTGATATGCTGTAACTTCCTATCCCTGCCTCTCTCCACACACAGTGACCCCTACTGGTTAGTGCTGGTATTGCAGAGTAATCTCCGTTTATACTGAGAAAAATACCTGCATTTGTATTGCCGGTATTACTGCAATACCGGCATGGCCAGGCAGCCTCAAATACCGGCTGTGCTGGTAAAACACCAGTCAGGTGGCAAACCTAACAGTAGTGTGTGTAAAAAAATAAAAATAAAAAAAAAAGTTAAGAATTTTTTTTTTTTAAATGGGCCTATTCCATGGGCCTGGGCCTGGGCCTGGGCCTGGGCCTGGAGCTGCAGCTCCATCACCCCCTATGTTAATCCGGCCCTGCTTACACTAATGTAACCCTCTCACTGTCACCCCCTCTCACACTAATGTCACACCCCTCTCACTCTGTCATCCCCTATCACATTATGTCAACCCCCACTTACACTGTAAAACACCCCTCACACTATGTCACCCACCCGCTCACACTAATGTCACCCACCCCACCTTTCACACACACTGTGACCACCCTTTGCACACACTGACACCAATCTCCGCACACACTGGAATCCCCCTACATACACACTGTGACCCCCCTCCACACACACCGTCACCACTCTCCGCACAGACGGGCGCCACTCTCCGCACTCTGGCTCCCCCCACTATACACACTGTGACCTCTCCACACTCTGGCACCCTTCACCATACACTCTGGTACCTCCTTCCATACACTCGGTCACTCTCCTCTGCATTCTGGCACACTCCTCCACACTCTGGCACCACCTTCCATACACACAGTCATCCCTCTACACATTGTCACTCTGTTACCCCTAACACAAACTGACACCCCCCAGATACTGCTACCACCCCCCCACCCCCACACACACACACACACACACACACACTGTCGCCCTTACACACTTATATGAACTCTTCCTGATTCAGTCACACTCACCCCATCCAATCATGCAGCACTTACCCTATAACATGAATCCCCCTAATCCTGTCACACTCACCTTTTCTCACACTGTCACATTCACCTCCCAGCCCTATAACACTCTAATCCCAATCTCCCTGTCACAATCACCCTGTCATATAAACCCCTCAAACCCTGCCACGCTCACCTTCCGTCGTCCTGACACAGTCCCTCCTCCAACCATGCCACACTCATCCCCAGCTCTGTCACACTCGCCCCCCCAACATTTCCACACTCAGTCTGTCATATTAACACCTCTAAACCTGTCACAGTCCCCCAACCCTTCCACACTCAACCGATCACAATAACGCCTCTGATCCTGTCACACTTGCCCTCTCAATTAACTCCCCTTAATCATGCCACACCAACCCTCTGATACTCAAGCCCCAAGCATGATACATTCACCCTATCATATGAATACCTGAATCATTTCATACATATCCCCTCTGACCCTGTAACACTCTCTTCAAACCATGTCACACTCACCCTCCCTCATTGTGTCACACTAACGCCCCAACCCTGTCCTATTCACACCCTTGCTCTTTTACATTTACCCTGCCACAGTTACCCCTTTACTCACCCTGTCACCCCCTGAAGACAATCATTATACACGCCTTCATAAAACATGCCATAACTACAGTCAGAGAGCTCACAACGCAGCAGCACAGTGAGCTGCAACAATGAA